AGAACCCCCGCCCGAGTTCTGTGGTCAGTATGCGAGGGCTACCGAGGAGTGAACGGCCTCGGCCAAAGAAGCTAGTTCGAATTGGGACTGTGAAGCGGAATATAAGTCTCTAACTGGAAGGTTCTTCAGGGAGAGCAATGAAGGGGCAGGCCTGGGAATTCGGAGAATCGCACGGCCGCGTCAAAACTCATATATCCAGATGGGGAATGACGCCGAAGCGGATGTGTGTTGGCTAGCCGAGTCGCTCAAGGACTATGTCTCCGCTGTGAACAGGATCAGCGATCGGATCATGGCTGTGAGGATAGACACGAAGGAGGGGTACTGGTCAATACTGTCAGTGTACGCTCCGCAGACCGGATGCCCCGAGAGTGAGAAGGACGAGTTCTATCTAAGGCTTGACGAAGCCATCAGATCGATCCCGGAAGCGATTACTTGACCATAGCAGGTGATCTGAATGGGCACGTCGGCAGCGACAGAAGAGGTCTTGAAAGGGTGCACGGAGGTAGAGGAATAGGAGTGAGGAACGCCGAGGGAGAGAGGGTCCTGGACCTGGCTACAGCCCACGATCTGGCAATCTGCAGCACGTTCTTCGCGAAAAGGGAGTCACAAAAGGTAACCTATAGCAGTGGGGAGGAAATCGACCATGTACTGGTGAGAAGATCATCCCTCAAAACTGTGAAGGATATCAAGGTAATTCCTGGCGAAGACCTGGCTCCTCAGCACAGGCCCCTCCTGGCAGACATAGCCATAGACCTTCCCAAGAAGACAAGGGTAAGAACCGAGAGGAGAATCCGGTGGTGGAAGTTGCACCAAGCGGAGAAGGATGACCTCAAACGAAAGATAATGGAAGTCGGTCTCCAGATCCTAACGGGCCAATACAGCGGACTTGGAGCAACGCGGCTGAGACCATCCTGCAATGTGCCAAGGAGGTACTGGGTGAGACGCGAGGTGGATTCAGAGGAGACAAGGCAGCGTGGTTCTGGAACGAGGAGGTCCAGCGAGTCGTGTGAAACAGAAGAAGGAAGCATACAAGCGCTGGCAGAAGACCCGGAGCCCAGAGGACCTCGCTGCCTACAAGAGTTGCAAGAGGCTCGCTAAGGCAGCCGTCGCCAAAAGAACACGGAAATGGACGCCTTGTACGAGAAGTTGGAGAGCCAAAACGCAGAAAGTTCGTCTTCAGACTGGCCAAAGCCCGGCATCGGGCTACCCAAGACATTAGGGTGGTGAAGAGCGTGAAGAGCAGTAACGGTGCCATCCTGAGGAAGCCAACTGAAGTCAGGAGGAGGTGGGAGGAGTACTACAAAGCGCTCCTGAACGAGGAGTTTCCCCACAAAGACAGCTCGCAAGCAGAGGCGACGGCTGGCCCTATCTCACTATGGACAGAGGATGAGGTTCGTCAAGAACTAAGGTTGGAAAGGCGGTGGGTCCAGATAAGGGTGCCAATCGAGGCATGGAAGGCGCTCGGAGAGTACGGGATCAGATGGCTTACCCAATTCCTGAACACGGTAACCACCGAAGGAAGGATGCCGGATGCCTGGAGAACAAGCACTATCGTCCCCATCTTCAAGCAGAAGGGTGACGCGATGGACTGCTCCAACTACCGCGGGATCAAGTTGACTGCTCATACAATGAAGCTGTACGAGCGACTGGTCGACTCGAAACTGCGGGAGCTGGTCCCGATCTCCCAGGAACAGTTCGGGTTCATGCCCGAAAGGTCTACAACGGATGCCATCTTCATCGCAAGGCAAGTGATGGAGAAGTATCGAGAAAAGCGCCGACCCTGCTACCTAGCCTTCCTCGACCTGGAGAAGGCGTTCGACCGGCTACCGCGAGCAGTGCTATGGAGGTCGCTTAGGGAACGAAACGTGCCAGAACACCTGATCTCTCTGGTGAAGGACATGTACGATGGGGCGAAGGCAGCTATACGCACCCCACACGGCCTAACGAAGGAAGTGGACATCACGGTTGGGGTGCACCAAGGGTCAGCTCTGAGCCCGTTCCTCTTCCTCCTTACACTAGATGTCATGGTGAGAGGCCTCATGGAAGGACCATTAAAGACCATCCTCTACGCTGACGACATCGCCCTGATAGCGGAAAGCAGAGAAGAACTACAGGGCAAGGTGCAGAAATGGCAGGAAGTGCTGGCAGAAGGTGGGCTTCGGCTGAATGTCAAGAAGACCAAGTTCCTGAGCTCTGAAGAGGGTGCAGAGCCAATCGTAGACGGCCATGGAGAGATCATCGAAAGAGTGGAGGACTTCCGATACCTTGGGAGCGATCTGGCAGCCGACGGAAGTGTGGATCAGGCAGTGAAGGCACGAATCAACGCGGCATGGATGAAATGGAGGGAGTCCACTGGAATCCTCTGCGATCGAAGGTGCTCCAGAACGCTGAAAGGAAGGTGTATCGGGCAGTGGTAAGGCCTGCGAGTGCTGGCCCCTGAACAAGAATCACGAAAGGCAGCTCACTCCGCTGAGATGAGGATGCTGAGATGGGCCTGCGGCTGGACGCGACTGGACAGGGTCAGAAACGAGGATGTCAGAGCGGTCATGCAGACTGCCCCTGTCCAGCTGAAGGTACGGGAACAGCGTCTGCGATGGTATGGGCACGTGCTAAGGAGGCCACAGGACCACCCGATAAGGAAAGCAATGGACTTCGAAGCGCAAGGCAAGCGACCGCGAGGAGCCCCAAAGAAGAGGTGGAAGGACGTAATCAAGAAGGACCTAAGTGAAGTCACGGCCACAGCAGAAGATGCCCTAGACAGAGCGAAGTGGCGACGACTGATAAAGACAGCGGACCCTGCGACTGCGCGGGACTAACGCTAGGGAGAAGAAGAAGATTCCAGTTTCTTCCTACACGCATGCCATGGGCACATAGATGACGTAATGCGCTCGCTTTGAGTTGATACGATAGGTCGCGGGATTACTGATGCGGAATGTGCCCTGGTTTTGCAACCATCGAAGACTATTCCTTTGTTTTCTATAATTCTTCAACGTCGTCCATCAGTACTTGTAGAACAGCGGCAAATGTTCCGCGCAAACGTTCTAATATAATTCGTGGGAGAGCAAGTTTTGCTAGCAATGCAAAATGCTTGCTGTTTCAGCAAGAATCGTCTAGCGATCTCCCATTTTGTTGTTCTTCGTCCACCAGTTTTGATCACCGCCGTCAACTTGAATCGCCGCAGTTCACTACCGTCTCAGATAGACTTCGGGACTCAAAAGTGCAACCCAGGCAGAATGTGAACGATTCTCTCCGGTCTGTAGAATAGAATCACAGATGGGGCACCATCGTGCACAGAAAACACACGACAAGCGCAATGGGTTCTGCAAACTGAGCTGCAGCCAATGCAGTGTTCGTCGTCCGCAGCACGCGGTTACTGGCGCCCTCTCATTTGTAGCGCTCTCTCGTCTCATACTCTCCTCTCCGCGCTTAGTCTCTCAGCCTTAGCACAGCCGATTAGGAAGGTGAGTGAGCCCTCAACCTGAGCGTTTTCGACGGATTCTTTTCCTTTTTTCTTTACTGCCGGCCCACTTGGCACCAATACATTCACATTCGTGTGCAAGAGCCACACCAGTGCGATCCTGGGCATGCCTTTAAGTGTGAGGATAATTCTCCGAATCACGAGCGCAGCAATCTCGACAACATATGCTGCCTTCACACCTACCCGTCCATGATTTGCCGGATCGTGTGATAGACTATTAGCAATGCGCATACAGGCAATAACAGACGAGTGAGTATGTCAGCAGCTTGCTTTTCAAGATAAGCGTCATTGTTTCCTGGCTGCAAAATCAAACTCTAGTAGAACAGGATGAGTACTTTTAGAAAGTGTGCAAGTTACATTTCCCTACGTGAAAATGGAACCGAATCGCACATATGAAAGAATACACGAAAATGAGTAACAAAAAATTCTTTATACAGAAAACAGCCAACGGGACAGACTTTCAAATTTGGGTTAGTGATTCATATAGTTGTTTAATAGTCTTTCCTAAATGCTGCTCTTATGGATTATAGATATCAACTTTTCTTCTCCACGTTTTCTCTTCTACGACACGCACTTTGAGCTGTCCACCCTTCTTATCCAAACCCTTCTTCAGCTCTTCTTTCTTCGTCTCCGGCTCCTTCGTTTTAGTCTCTGGCTCCTTAGTGTTCGTCTCTGGCTCTTTAGTTTTCGTCTCTGGCTCCTTCGTTTTCGTCTCTGGCTCTTTAGTTTTCGTCTCTGGCTCCTTAGTTTCGTCTCTGGCTCTTTAGTTTTCGTCTCTGGCTCCTTTGTTTTCGTTTCTGGCTCCTTAGTTTGCGTCTCTGGCTCCTTAGTTCTCGTCTCTGGCTCCTTATTGGTCGTGTGTTTCCACGAGAGGTTCAGTGTGCCTCCCGTTGAAATGTCGATGAAATGATGTACAGAGATATATAAAATCTTCTTCTTTTTGTCATAGTGTGATGTCTGGGTATTGGCATCGACCTACAAGGTGAGCGATTTCGTTTTGCGGTTTAGCAAACTTTGATAACACTAGCAATCCACGTTAGAGTTATGGAAACCGGTATTTGCC